ACTGGCAGTTAGGGGCATGCGGAGAGCCCGGGGCAGTGATTAGAGGGGCGTTAGTGCAGGCCTAGTTGGCAAGCATGGAGTTAATTTGGCACAGAATTTGGGAGTGTGGTTTTCCGGGCCAGAGCCAAAGCTCCTTTTTTTTTTTTTGAGAGGTTTTTGCTATAGGGCATGTTTGCTCACCAGAAAGAGAGAGACAGAAAGTGAAAAATCACCCCCCCACCCAGGTGGTGTGGCCGCAACGCAATCCCTTCTCCTCCACTCTCTTCTTGGGATCTCCAGCATGCACGCACACGTACCTGGCGTGAGTTTAAGCCACTAGTTCCGGGACTCAGACCGCAGTTGACTACATGGGAACCCAGCGACATAGCCATGAGGCCAACTGCTGGTCCTAGGTCTCTACATGTTTTTATAAGCACCAAAAACACAGGCAACTCCATATCTAATGGCCTAAGACACACATACTGACTAACAAACCAGACTACGGAAATCAGGCAAGACTGTGCCGCCCAGAGACAGCGGGTGTGAATGTGCTCATGGCATCCCTGCAGTCTTCCCAGCACCTGTAGAGACACACTGGATCAGCCCTGACGTGCCGTGCTGACCTTCCATGTCACCATGCATCGCCGAATCCCTCTCTCCAGCAATACATGCCTTAATTCCTAGAGTAGCACGTGATCACACTGGGAAACATCACCCTTCACCGCTCGAGCACTCGCCGACATTGCGGATGGTTCTGACTTTTGCCACGTAAACAGCACGGTGACGAACGTCTTCAGGGTGAGACCTCTGACCCGCCTTGCTCATCTCGCTAGCGATGGAGTCAAAGGTGTCCACTCTTTCAAGGCTTTTGCAGACATTTCCAGATTGTCCTCTGAGGTGTCTCCACTTCCCCATCTGTGCAGGGACCAGGCTTCCCAGCACCTTCCCCAGAGCTGCGTGTTTTCACTTGAGGCTGTGCCCATGTGCTGCCTATCTGTGTCCTTGATCTCAGCCCTTCCCATCCTTCCAAGGTCTTTGGTCTGAAAAAGTGTGTTTCGGTTTGCTGTTTTTGTGTACTTGGATGAAGGACTTGCCCCTTGAGACTCTTCGTTTCCTGCCCTGGGGAAGGAACGGGGCCCACATAGGGTTGAGCAGGTGGTGTGGAGGTCAAGGTGCTGACCACGGTTTGAGTCCTGGAACTCATGGCTTAAAAATCATGCCAAGCGCGTGCATATGTGTGTTCAGAATCCCGAGAGGAGACTGAAGGGGAAGGGATTGCACATGGCCACCCCCCCGCCCCCCGCAGAGTCGCCTACAAAAACCTAAAAAAAGAAAAAAGAAAAGAAAAAAAGAAATATAAATGGGGCCCATTGCAGCACCAACTCTTAGAGTTCAAGAATGAAAGCAGATGGCACTGGGGACACGATCCTGACACAGACGGGGATTCACAGACAGAAGACAGTTTGCCAGCTCTTCCTCCTCCTGAACCGTCAGACTCTGCCTTGTCCGCTGTCCCTGTCTACCTGTGCAGGTGGGTTCTCCAGACACCTGCCCTGCAGCCCGCCCCCACTCCCCCACCTGCCCTCCTCTCACTGGCACTGACCTCAGAAAGGCCCTGTCAAC